GTGGACTTCACAGTCTTCAAAATCTTCCCTCCCCCAACCGCATCCCAAAACCAGCCCAGCTCGTCCCCGCCTCCCTAACCATTCCTCCCACCTCAAGCCCCACCCCCATCTCCTACCCACTAACCTCATCCCACCTCCTTGACCTGTCCATCCTCCCTGGACCGACCTATCCCCTCCCTAACTCCCCACCTACATTCACCTTTACTGGCTCCATCCCTGCCTCTTTGACCTGTCTGTCTCCTCTCTACCTATCTTCTCCTTTATCCATCTTCTTTCCACCTCCCCCTCTCTCCCTATTTATTTCAGAATCCCCTTCCCCTCCCCATTTCTGAAGAAGGGTTTCGACCCGAAACGTCAGCTTTCCTGCTCCTTTGATGCTGCTTGGCTGCTGTTTTCATCCAGATCTACAAATTAATTTCTATACTAAATGTTTTATAAAAACAAGCCTTAGTTACCTTTCTCCCGCTGTAGCACCTTTCCAAATATGCCAGCAAAGCATGTGCTTGCAAACCACTAAAGCTAAATTTAATTTGCAATTAGTTCATCAAGTAAATGTGTATTAGGCTTTAGATGCTGGCTGAAGGCAATTTTCATCATGCCAGTGGCCATTATGAACTAAGCACTGGCATCTTAATAATGTACAAGTTAGTAGAAATGATTAAAGCTAAAACGAGCTATAATTTGTCACACCCGCAAGGGTGCTGTGACAGGTGGAGCTGATAGTTTTTTATTTGTCATGTAAATAAGATAAAGTCACCACTGTCCCAGAGGTTCATAGGGCTGTTTTCTCAGAGAGAAGCAACTGATGGTATACCCAACTAGAGGATTAGCACGCCTTAGGTGAGGGAGTGAGGATGAAAAGCAGGACCTTCAATCTGTGTAGGAAATGAACCCAGTGTTGGCATCGCTCTGCATCACAAATCAGCCATCCAGCCAACTGAGCTAACTGATCCCCAAAATGCAAATGTAAATATTACAATGGATTCTACTGAATGTAATAGTACGTTTCATGTTGTGGGTCTTAGATGGGAAAGAGGGTCAGAGCTCAGTAAGCATTTTGAATCTAATCTATAAGGCACTCAGTCAGCATAGCACCTTCACTAAGTGGATGCTTATACTGAAGCATAAGCTGAACGATTGGAGGAAGCATGGTCCTACATCAGAGCATTACATGTCTCACTGTACACACACCATGCAGTCCTCACCTGCAGGGCATGCCACCACTGACTCCTCTGAGCTAACAATCTGATTTGGTGATTATTTTCCCAACATAGGTAACTGCTAGCAAGTCATGCACCCAGCTGCAGGTAGGATGTTGATTGATGAGGCTGCCTTCCCAAGGTGACCAGGAGGACCAGTGCAGATGGCAAGGCCAGAAGCAGCAGTGAGTCACTGTGGAGGAGCACTCAGATCAGACTGAAGTCACATCTACAGGGACCTTCAGGATGCACCAAGGCTGCAGAAGTTTTTTTGCCCTCACCCCATTTCCTGGGGATAAGTTAGAACCGTGTCATCCCAGGCTCCATACATCTTGATGAGGAGGACGAGGACACTGGGGAGGAGGAAGCTGATGTCATCCATGACACAACCCAATGCTACAAGCCAGACTAGATCCAAGTGACACCTGGAGAGGGTTTGTTTCCGTATTGTATATCTCTATTAATATGACAGTTGGGTGCAGTAGGCAATCATAGACTGTAAAAATGTCAGTGGTCATTATGTATGTTTCCTCTAATTTTTCCTTCTGTTGGGTGGGTATCTGAGTATGTGCATAGCAGCAACTTCCAGAACTGGAGGTCAATGCGCCTGCATATGGAGAGGCTGTGTAGCCACAGAGCTTGGATTGAACATTGCAAAATAAATGCTGGCGTGGTGACCATTGTGGAGTGAACTGCAACCTCTATTCCTTTATTGTTCACTTTTGCAGACTGCAAGTAAAAGCTCATCTTTGGCTTTGTCTGATTGTTTGCCTTATGTGATGTTCCCTTACACACAACGATAAGAGACAGATCTACATTGGGCACTGACAACACAGTAGCAGTGATTTAGAGAAGGGGGTTAGACACAATGTACCTAAGAACTATGTAACAAACATCACGGCTTTGTAGCACTTTGCTGTTCATGAAAGGGAATGAAAAATTGCCAACCCACCTCTGGGTGCACAGTGACCTAATAAAGATGGTGCTGGGGGCCAGCGATGCAATGCTAGTCTTCTGGTGGATTCTGGCAAGTAGTAAGTTCTTCCAGGAATGGCAGCTGGTAGAATGTGGCTAGAATTGGGCAGAGGGTTGTTATTGGGGCGGGGTGCAGGGTGCAGGGTAGTTAGTGAGGAGAGTTTGGTAAGATGCAGTGAAAGATCATGCTACGCCTTGCAGAGGGAAACCCTCCATGAAACTCGACAAAACTGTCATTTAGCCAAAAACAGATTCAGTCCATTGTATCCACATTGTTTATTGATAGTCCAGAGACTTTTTTTTCTAGGGAGTTAATAAAAAAAAAATAAAAAAAAAATCAGTGAACTCTATGGCTGTAAGACTCATTTATGTCATTAGATCACAGGAGAAATTTTAAACAAGGGATACTTAGCCTAAAACTCTCAAAGTATAATTTGATAAAAGCCAAAATTATAAGTAATTAGATGTGTGGCTACAGTCTCAGGATTAGAGATTAAACCACAAAGACGGTTGCGGTAGCAGTCTAAAATGCAGACATTTTAGCGCAAAGGAAATGGATTTTAAATGAAATTTGGTTATCCATAATGTTGCTAACCTCTGAGTGGCATCTGCCATGACCACACCGACCATCTAAAGTGCAGTGCAGTGTGGATTCAGCCAGAGTTTTTGTTAACTCATTTACCTCCTGCTAATCCCGATTGCCAGTCAAAGTTGCATATAGAGTATTTGCTTAGAATAAACTAATAGATCTATCGAACAGTAAGATGATGTTTATTATACAAACATGAATAAAGTGAAGTATTTTTGCTTTTTCAATTCAACCCTGGAATCATGCCACTAATTTTCTTACCTCTGATACTTCCATACATGTCATGCTATAAAATATTGTCTATCAAGTGAGATCATGAAAGATTTGGCTTGTCCAGTATTATCATAACAGGAGCAAGAATTATGACTGAGTTTTTACTTTCTGTAACTCAGTAAGTGCACTGCACCATGAATCTACACTAGCTAACAGAATAGTGGGAAAGTTAAATTAGACACCCATAATTAGAACGTAAGAACTAAAAGCATGTGATGGCATTTCAAAGATAGTAGGAACTGCAGATGCTGGAGAATCCGAGACAACAAGGTGCAGGGCTGGATGAACACAGCAGGCCAAGCAGCATCATAGGAGCAGAGAGGCTGACGTTTCGGGCCTAGACCCTTCATCAGAAAAAGCATTTCAAGCCTGATCCACCATTTAACACAGTCATGGCTGATCTCGGCCTCAATTCCACTCTCCTGCCCACTCTCCATCACCCTTCAACCCGTTACTAATTTGTAAAGTACTAAACACCATTAATAATTGCAAACACTGTTTGTTGCAGAATACAATTTAATTACATGAATTATCAGAGGGACTGCCTTGTATCACAAAAAGTATTGGTTATTTACAGACAAGGCTGGAAAGTAGGGATACTTGCAAAATTGTTTCTCAGCAAATATTGCCAGGAGAGAAATTCTGGGGAAATCCTGCAAAAAACAGTACAATTTGACAAGGCCAGAGTGCATATACCCCTATCTGTGAAAGAACGGAGATGGATTGAAATAATGGCAAACTTTCCTGCCTGTTCTCTTATGATGTTGAAATACATCAGCTGAGAACTACTATGACAAACTTATTCACAACAATCTCCTGGCTCAGTGTCAATTTCTAAACTGCTCAGTTTCCCAGGACAAGAATATGGATGGAGTGCAATGACGTATATATGAAATAAATAATTTTGATGCAACTTTAAAAACAATATTTGGGTCTTTAATACAGTGATTAAACCAAATTCATGAGACTTGAATAATTCATAGAATTTGAACCCTGGGAGGAGAGAGAGCATGCAGTTGTGAAAATTTCTCAGAAGTCAAAAGGGGAAAGATTTAAAAGGGACCTCAGGGGCAACTTTTTCACGCAGAGGGTGGCGTGTGTATGGAATGAGCTTCCAAAGGAAGTGGTGGAGGCTGTTACAATTACGACATTTTAAATGCATCTGAATAGGTATGTTATTAGGAAGGGTTTAGAGGGCTAGGCGCCCAATGCTGACAAATGGGACTAGATTAATTTAAGATACCTGGTCTGCATGGACAAGTTGGACAGAAAGGTCTGTTTCCATGCTGTCAGCTCTATGACACTATAAACAAACGTTTTCAGATAAACAATATATCTGGCCATTTACTGACAACTATTTATATTAATTAAAAATATGTATTAGCCATAGCTTGGCAGTAACACCAAAGCACATAACATAAGTTGACACACCAGCACTGAAGAAGTGTTGCAGTGCTGGAGGTCCTATTGATAAGATAAACCTAGAAGTTATAAAGTAATTAAAAAAATAGGAGGCAGACATTTGGCCCACCCAGTCAATCAAAGCTTTAGAGAGACATCCACACAATCCAATTCCTGTATTAAACAGAAAACCTGATCATGGAGCAGAGAATACAGAACAGAAGGTGAGCTGTTGATTTGCTATTGCCTGTTCTCTAATTCTGCTAGGAATCAAACTTATTCCTACAATCTCCAGTTTCCACTCCTGCTTAGAGAGATCTGAAAGTGGAATCCTACCACACTGTGTACTGTGCCATTCTTTAACCCTTTGCAGGATGGTCAACATGAGCTATGGGAGTGGACAGTCAACCTTATCGTTTTTCCCCACCTTTTAAAGCTGCAGTTACTTTACAGCTGGTTCATCCTCTGCTTCTAACCAACATTTAAAGCTCAGAGGCAAGCAACAATAGAATAAAATGCATTGTGCAAGAATTTAGTTGTCTTGTAATGAATATCAAACTTGATGATTGAAAATGTGAATATTTTATTGTGTTATCAATCCATTTTGTAACATTTCCACAAAAATTTAAACACTGTAACAAAGTAGGCTATGGCACATTCGGAAAAAAAGATTAAAGCTGAATTAAAGAAAGAATGCTACATACATTTATTACAGCAGTAAGAAATACAGACAGGTTTGGCAACAAGGTAAGAATTTGGCAAACAACTTTGCTACAAAAAATTCTTAAATGCTATTTAAATACACTTTGCCAATCTGGTTAACATGTTAACTGCTGAAGCTCTAGGTTAACTGCAATAATGGTATTAAACAACTGCGATGAGACATGTACATTCCTATATAAAATAAAATTACTTTATTTTCCTCCACTAATATAATCCCAGTGTGGCAACTGTGCGACCAAAATTGCATGTTGTGTGAATCAAACAAATTTTGATATCAACTTTTAAATATTAACTCCAAATTTTGTTTGGATAGAAGAAATGTTATAGTACTACAATAGATCCACATACTCCATAGCAAAAGAGAATGGGAGGAACCAGGTAGGTTTTCTGCCCTCATCAACTCCAGAGGTATAAATGAGATTGAATGCTTGTTTACAACCATTATCCTCCGTTTACACATGAAGAATGGCCTTTGAGGGTGATGGCCACTAATAGAACTGTATGAGGAATTCCTACTGTATGTATAGTGTTCCAAAAACTAGACTACCACTTGTAGCAAGGAGAAGCTGTACTGCCTGTGGAGTGTGAAGAAGTAGAATCTACCATAAGAATCAGACATGAAAACATATGTATACACGAAGAAAGTGGAGCAAGGTGTTGATAATTAAAACCTACTGAAATAAGATTAACTAGATGTGAACAAAGCATGGGGTAATTAAGGAAATCCCACATGATTTACATTGTTCTAAAGATGCTTACAAGTAAAAGTATTTACTTTCAGGAGTTACCAAAACCTTACTTTTTTTCTTGTTTTCCCACGGAGACAAAATAAATTAATACAGAATAGCCAGAGGCCATGTATCATCAACTTTGTCAGTTAAGGTGAGGATGACAGATTTAGCTTCATTTTTAAAAAGGTTTGAATAATTTGCCTGAGGAATCTTGCCCGAAAGATTTTCTGCAGAGTTTGTCAAGTAGTGGGATAAAAAAACTACTAATGATCATACTACTTGGCTAACTTGTGCCTCTACCAGAACAACACTGGGATACCTCCTGATCATTTGTTAACTGGAATTATGATTGAACTTTTGTCAAAACCTCTCCTGAAAGAAATAATCAGCTTAGTATATCCTGTCAGGGCACAGGAAATTCTCGACAACTGATGACTATTTAAATGTTACAATTATATTGCAACGCCACCTGTGAAATGTACAGTATGCCACCTTGCAGCATCTTTACTTGCTTTGTCTGCTGGAAACACATCTATTGTATTTGGGTAAACTCAACAGTATCATTAGTTTTAACTGTGGATAGCTTACTTTCACTTATAATGATAACTTGAGTTCTCATGAGTAATTAACCTCTTGCTCTAGCCCCAAACTCATAACCAGTTAACCAGAAATGCTTTTCAAAATCAAAAGTCTACAGGTCAGGTGTCTCAGTTTGTGTGACTTTTCCTGCAGTAGAACAGCATCTAAGGAATCCAAGCAGGAATCTTAAATGTTTGGATAACAACCCTGCTGCAATGCAAAGTTCAGATGCATTTTGGTCACCAAAGTTCAGGATTATTGCCAAATTCTGCTGGAGAAGCTGATCCTCAGTTGTGGCAGCAAGTGGATACTACAACTAAAGCTGGAGTAGTAGGATTCAAGCAGAGATTCTGCAATTGAGCTCCACCTCCAAGAAGTGTGCAAAGTCTTCATATTAGATGAAGACAGGATTGACATGAATTCCCTCTGAAGATTAGAAGGAAAATAAATATTAATATGCTCAATTTGTACTAACTGTGGGGTTTAAGGAAAAACACACTGCAAAATCCTCTATCATAATTGAGAAGATCCAGACCTTACAGTAATTTAGTCATGGAAAAAGCCCCATCACTAGTAATGGGTAGTATAATGATGTTAAGACTCGGTATGCAGTATGCAATGCCACACTAATAGAACTTTTGGTGAGGGTAAATGTGCTAATGTGTCTCATCTCAAGTGGTAGATGTCTCCACAAAATTCTGCAGGGCTACATGTCAGGCCATATTTATAAAAGGGGCTGAGGCAGCCTTATGCTTTATGTGCATCCTGGTCAAAATGTAGTCCATCAAGAGTATAAGCAGATAAAGGCTGTGTTTCAATTCTCATCAGCATAAATGGTACTGGAACAGACACATGAAGCATCTATCAATTAAACCTAGATGATGTGATATCACAAGCTGGATCCAACAATTCTACTGAAAAGTGAGGTTTAGTCAGAAAATAATAATGATAATAGCCATGACTGCTCTGTCCACCCTCATGTCAGTGGTCTAAAAACAGGACCATTAAGTTACTACTTCTTCCTCCAAACATCTTGCCTTTAATCTAATGAGTTTCCCTCCTTCAAGCTCACAGAAAGTTGGTAGCCATTGAGGCCAAGGAAGGATTTCAAGGAAACCTACTTGGGGATTATGCAATAATTAAAAAAAAAATCTACACATTAGTAAAGCAAGTAATAATGCATTTTAAAAAGTGTGTGTTTTTCTACAATCTGCATGACTTATCATAAAATAATAATGATAACAGCACAGGAAACCTTCTGTTGAGTCCATGAGACTGTTGATTTTAAGCTGAAAACAATGTTAATCAGATTCTGAATGAAGTTTTGACTTACAAAATCCAGGGTTTACACACCGAATTCCTAGAGTGTGGAAACAGGCCATTTGGCCCAACATGTCCGAAAACCACTCTCCGAACAGCATTCTGCCCAGACCCATCCTCCTACCCTATCCCTGTAACCCTGCATTTCCCATCACTGACACACCTAACTCAGACATCCCTGAACGCTATGGGTAATTCAGTATGGCCAATCGACCTAACTTGCACATCTTTGGACTGTGGGAGGAAACCCATGCAGACACAGAGAGAACATACAAACTCCACACAGACAGTTGTCTAAGGATGGAACTGAACCCGGATCCCTGGTGCTGTGAAGCAACAGTGCTAACCACTAAGCCACCATGGCGCACAAACCAAGTATTTAAATAATCTATAAATGCGAATCTGAAAAGAACAAATGTCACATTTAACTTTGCATTCTCACTGATTTTCAGAAAAAGTAATTTCAAGAAAAACATGTGTTAAGAAGTACATGGATATTTTACATTAAATCATTTGGCATCAGTGATTTTGCTTTTATATTTGTGTTGTGTCTAGTTTGACAAGCCACTATGTGAACAAAACTAGAAATGTACTCAAAGGCATCAACACAAGTGGCCAGGAACAATTACACATACTATATTCAAGATAGTACAATGAATTTTGAAGACAGATAATGGAACCTAATGTAGAATGTATATGATATACAAATTATGGATTTTTCAGAGATTCATTTCTTACAAAGTTTTTTTTTAAGGATTCATTCATTAGATGTGGGCATCACTAATAAGGTACATATTTACTATTATTCTCTAGTTGCCAGAGGTTGGTGGTGAACCACCTTTTTGAATCACTGTAGTTCAAGTGGTGTAGATACACCCATGGTGCCTCTGACTGGGAATTCCAGGAGTAAGTATGATCAAATAATGACAAAGCGATGATGCATTTCCAAGCGGAGGATGACAGGTGACTTAGAAGAATACTAACAGGTGGATGAATTGTGCCTGTTGCCTTTATTCTTCTCAGTGATGGAGATCAGTATTTGTCCAGTTCTCTTTAAAGGATTTAATTGTTTTCCACTACCCTATCAGGCAAAGCATTCCAAATTGTAACCATTTGTTACACCAAAAAAGGTTTTCCTCATGTCACTTATGATTCTCTCACCAATTACATCAAATTTGTTTCTTCCTCTATCTGAAGTCATAAAGTTTTAAACACCTGTGCCAGAATCCATATACCATATAGAGTTCACTGAATCCAACCCTTTCCTATAATCTGAAGAATGGTAACTTAGCTTACCTCATTTCTTTCCTACTCTTCTTAAACTTAGAGTGTCCTGCTCTATGACCTCAATTTCTCAGTAAAAATAATGGAATGGTGTTTCATTTACCCTACAAAAGAAACTGGGATTTTAAACAGGATAGGTATTACTGCAGCTAATTGTGTTTATTTCAAATTGGGAAATACACAATTTTCTTTACCAGTCATTCAATAGTTTGTTTGTTTGTTTGTTTTAAAAAGTTGAGAAAGTTTTCTCATTAACTGTATCTTATCAGTAACAAGCCTTTTGAGTACCAAAAATATTAGACAGCCTACAACAATTCTTAAATTCTCAGTCAATTTGAGGACAGCTCATACTTTGAGCAATTGATAAGTCTGCACCCCTAAAACTTAGTTTTTTTATATAGTTTACCAATAGGAGACACTTCTTACTATAATGGGAAATCACATTCAATGACAGCATAAACAAACATGTAGGGTGGTGTGCTTTCGGCAACCTACTAAACCATATTATAAATATTGTTGTCTAAACAAATGATTGATTTTTATAAATTAAAAAGTAGTTAGTTAATCATAAAACAACTTAAAACCCTTAACAAAAATACATGTTTAAAAGTTTATAGATATAGTTGGCCAAGGAAAGCTATAGTATTTCTACTACAGTTCATCAGAATTCTTTGTCTGGATCCAAATGTTGGGACTAACTAATAGGTACTTTGGCAAAACAAAATTACCCATAGATCAGACCTTGAAATAGGGAACTGCATAAATGAAAAAGCCCCTTTTATCAAGGTTAATTGTTCAACGACAAAACGGGAAGACCTGGAGGAAACAAATCACAGTGCAATGCTCAACAGAAATTCTCTACACTGAAATTTAATGATTTTTGGCCATAGTGTGAAAGGATAATGATAAACATGAAGTCTACAAACAGCCATGTGCTCTAATGATAAGACCCTGCAAACTATTCCAGCTGGCCCACTCCTGTATAATTTGTTTGGAAAGTGCCATATTCAGAGGTTTGGGAGTAGGTCACCCAGTTTTACTTTAATAGAGGCACAGAAGTAACTCAAAACCCTGCCCCATATTACATTCCTTGTATTAGAAGAGCTCCAAATTTGGAAAAGTTGGAAACCAACAATATAGCTGCCTTGTATCATTCTTAAATTCATTGCTTTGACAAAGTTAACTTCCAGGTTGGTTCAATTCTACCTATTTTCACCCCTGTAGAAAACAGTGATTGCGATCACCCTTTCATTATTTACCTCATTATGGTTGGAACTGGCATCATCTTGTCTCAAGGAAAACTTTTTTTTGGCATTGTATTTAAATTACAGAATGTTTTTGAAAACAAAAACAAAATTTCCCATTTGAAGAAATTACCACAAACATTTAGATCAGAAGTTTCAACCAGATTTGGATCTTCTGGGAATTTGTAAAATCCATACTTTAAGCCAAAAGTGTATGAAACTTAGTCTGAACAAGTAAAAGTTGACAGGAACCCAATACTTACAAACAGAATACATTTTAACACAAACATTTCTTTTCTGAATATATGTGGCAATCTCTGAGCATGCGAATGCTTTCTCTGTAAACTAATGTTGTTTTTCGTTTTGAAATACACATAAACCAGTTAGTTACATCTTTAAACTTGCATCTTATCTAGTTAGTTTAACTGTTAAAATAATATGCCAAGTTATCCAAAGTCGCACAATGAAGTGGACAAACGAGCCTGAGCTGCCACATCTGATGGAAGAATAAGAACTTCTCCTTTTCAAATTAGAAATTCAAAATAAAAACATTTGGATCACTGAGACTAGTATTGATAATACTTTCAGTTCTATTGAGAACACAAGCCTCTGGATTGCTCCAATATTCAACCTTTTAGAACAGGGAATCAAAATTGGCTTGCGAACTACACATGGCTTCGAAGCCCCATTGTTTAACAAAATCTATTAGATTCCATTTAAAATTGTAACATTTGCTCTGGTTTCAACTTTCACGGATTGTCGGTTTGAAAAAGTGACTAAAATTCTATTATTTCACAGATCCCAAATTACAAAACTAAGATCTACACATATCTTGAGATGTATACATTTTAATAGCAATATGTATTCTTTAAATTTGTCATGTGGCCCCTGAGGCTCATGAAGTTAAATTTTGCACATTCCTGTTGTCCATAAAATTTTAATTTAAAAAACAAATTGAATTTAATTTGAAAAAGTCATTTTGTTGTTAGTATTTTCACTTTTATTTTTCTAATATTTTGGCACTTTTTAGTTTTCCTTCCATTTTGTCCAATCCTCAAAGACATTGATTCAACAATTATTAGTTATTTGGCACTTCTCACGGAATGATGCACCCTAATGCTCTATGATAATGAGGTGGATTTTGAACAAGGGAAGAGGGAAGTGGCTAGGATGAAGAAATTGTAAGGAACAACGCGGTGACACAGTGGCTAACACTGCTGCCTGATGGTACTAGTGTCCAATTCCATCCTCGGGTGACAATCTGTATCGAGTTTGTACATTCTCCCCACATTTGCATGGGTTTTCTCCCACAGTCCAAAATTGTGCAGGTTAGGTGGCATGGCCTTGCTAAATTGCCTATAGTCTTAAGATGTGCTGGTTGGGTGGATTAGCCATGGAAAATGCAGGGTTACAGGGATAGGGTAGAGGAATGGGTCTGGGTGGAATGCTTTTTGGAGAGTAGGTGTGGACTATATGGGCCAAATGGCCTGCTTCCACAGTGTTGGGATTCTATGATCCCAAGTGAAGAAGAAAATTTTGTGAAGATTTTGGAAACAGTGAGTGGGTAGCAAGTGTGAGAGAACAGGGTGGACAATTCCAGAGTGCAGCCCCATACTAACTAAGGGACAGGTGCATGCCGAGCAGCAGCATAAAGTTAAATGGAGTTAAGTAAATGTCTAGGATAAGGGCTCTTGTGATGCAGTGGTAGTGTCCCTACCTTCGAGCTACAAGACCTGAATTCAAGTCCTACCTGCTCCAGAGGTGTGCATTACCATTTCGGAACATGGTGACATACAACATATCTAAATATTTAGGCTAAAGTTTCAAATGGCATCAGCTGCTTGTAGATCCTCAACTAATAGCATTGTGCCTCATAATGTCAGTAGGTGATTTGACTCCAATCAGCATTGCAGCAAAGTTAAATCATGTCCTCAGCAAAGGATTACAAAATGCACTTCTGACAAGGGCTCTGGAAATTCAGTGTCAAGTGGGAAGCCTGGATGATTTTATCCCTTTCATGCTCTATAAACAATGAGACCGATCATGTTGTCACTCCAACACCGTGACAGCTAACTGAGCACAGAATTTGGATAGATCCCAAGAGGATCCTGGTTCAGCTACTCACTCAATAAACTTGCAATCAACTGGGGATGGGATGAGGAATGAGGAGAAACATGGAAAAGATATCTGACACCTCTTAAAAAGTCAAGAGGAATGTGTTTCCAATTCACAATGTATACTTAATCAATAGTGTTTTGAAACTATTAAGTTCTGAAAGGTAAAACAATCTTTACTCATCAGGAAAACTACAAACCAAGGAATGGTGACAGCTAGAGACTAAAAGGGGCAGCACAGTGGCTCAGTGGTTAGCACTGCTTCCTTACAGCACCAGGGACCCTGGTTTGATTCCAACCTTGAGCGACCACCTGTGTGGAGTTTGCACGTACTTCCCACGCCTGCGTGAGTTTTCACAGGGTGCTTCAGTTTCCTCCCACAGTCCAGAGATGCGCAAGTTAGGTGGATTGGCCATGCTAAGTCACCCCATAGTGTCCAGGGATATGTAGGTTAGGTGCATTAGCCATCGGAAATACGGTGATAGGGTAGGGAAATGGGTCTGGGGTGGGATCCTCTTCAGAGGGTTGATGTGGACTTGTTGGGCAAAATGGCCTGTTTCCACACTGTGGGGATTCTATTAGAATACATACTGTTGCAAAGAATAACATTGGACCACACTTACATGTGGGTTTTGGGGAATTGTTTTAGTATTTCTATTGCTGCCAACTAAAAATTTATCTTAGGTTATTAATATAATTTACACTATATGTAATAACATTGAGATTAATTTGTCAAAATGCAGTTTTAAAAAAATTATATCCAAGTAACTTTAAGAACATTGTTTTGGCAAATGAATATTCAGAGTTTTAATGAGAAAAGACAAACTTGCATTTACATGTGCCTTTCATGATAACAAACATTTTACAGCCAATGGAGTACTTTGAAGTGTAGTCATTATAATAATTGCTTGCAGTCATAATATAGGAAATGCATCCAATAGTTTCTGCACTGCAAATGACCAGAATGGCCAGAAAATCTATTTTTCTGATACTGACCGAGGAAAAACAAAGGATAACTCTCCCGTTTTTCTTAAAAATTGTTGCAAACATTTAAAAAAAAATACACCTGAAGGGGCAGAGAGTCAATTTAATGTCTCATGCAAAAACAAGGTGCCTCAGTGTGCAGCATCCTTCAGTCTGCATTGGAGTGGCAGCATTGATTTTTGCACTCAAGGCCTTGGGTGGATTCGAATCAACAACCTTCTGAGTAGGATGGAAATGCCCTATCAACTGAGCCATGGTTGATATTGAACTGGAAGGTTAACAGTTGTTTAACAGAGACTTGAAATAAAATGCATCTTTTTTTTACTGTTTAGAAATAAAAGAATTATAGCACAACCAATATCAACTACACACAAATAATCATCTCTAAATATCTGTTTTTCCAGTTGTTAACATCAAGTACAAGGAATATAAAATATGAAGAATTGTATTACTTCCCCAATAGGTAAACTCACAGCTATAATCTGTCAAAGGTAAAATGTCTTAATCTTAGCTGTTGCTGTTAATTAGAATTGTTTGGAATGTTTGCATTGTTATTCTTTAATGAAGGTATCGAATTGAGCTGAAACAAAACGAATTGCTGGTGAAAGTCTGACTCAGACTCGAAACATTAATCTGCTTTGTCGCCGCCACCCAGTCAACAGATGCTACCAGACCTCCTGAATTTTGCCAGAAATTTTTGCTTCAGATCTCCAGCATCCACAGTTCTTTGTTTTATTTTACTATTGAATTAAGCTGTTTTCTTACTTTACTAAGTAGTACTGAATCAAAAAAATTTAACTTCTAAAATATTAATTTGGATAAATGCAAGATATTGCATTTTGGTAAAACAAAGGCAAGACATATAAAATTAAAAGTAAGGCCTTGTAGAACAGTGTTATAGAACAGAGAAACCTAGGGGTTCAGGTATATAATTCTTTGAAGTTGCATCAGAAGTAGATAGGGTGGTTAAGAAAGCATTTAGCATGCTTGCATTCATTGCTCAGACCCCTTGAGTATAGGAGTTGGGACATCATGGTAAGATTGTACAGGAGGTTGTTGAGGCCTTTTCTGGAGTACTGTGTCCAGTTTTGCTCTCCCTGTTATAGGAAGGATATTATTAAGCTGGAGAGGGCTCAGAAGAGATTTACCAGGGTGTTGCCAGGACTGGAGGGTTTGAGTTACGAGGAAAGACTGGATAGGCTGGGACTTTTTCCTCTGGAGCATAGGAGGTTGAGAGGTGACCTTTTAGAGGTTTAAAAAAAATCATGAGAGGTATAGATAAGGTGAATGGCAGGTCTCTTTTCCCTCGGGGGGGCGGGGTGGGTGGATTTCAATACTAGGGGGCACATTGTTAAGGTGAGAAGAGAAATAGATTTAAGAATGACATGAGGGGCAATTTTTTAAAAACACATTTTATGTGTGGAACAAACCTCCAGAGGAAGTGGTGGATGTGGGTACAGTTACAATGTTTAACAGGCATTTAGTTAAGTACATGACTAAGACATATTTGGAGGGATACAGGCCAAGTGTAGGCAGTTGGAATATTTAGTTTGGGATTATGGTTGGCATGGCTGCACTGGGCTGCTGAAGGGTCTGTTTCCGCGCTATATGGCTCTATTATGCTTGTGATTCCATTCTGATGAATTATATATTAAATAGAATGGGATAATATTCAAGTGTCTCAGTATATTTAATCCTTTATTTATGTATGTATAAAATACTGTTTAGTTTGTAAATCTCCAGTGAACATTAACAGGGGTGTTATATACGAATCAAAGGAAGATATCTGCAACAGTAAAGGGAGTTACTTTGAAAGAAACAAAGACAAAGTGCTGCAGAAACTCAACAGGTCTGGCAGCATCTATGGACAGAAAAACACAGCTAACACTTTGAGCCCAGCGACCCTATGAAGATACTGATAGGCTTGCTGAGGTTTCTTAAGCACTTTCTGTCTTTATTTCAGATCTCTAGCATTTGCAGTTATTTGTTTTATTATTTTGAAAGCAGTCATTTACAGAAGAGGAGGTCTCAAAGTCTAAAGAATCACAAAAATAAAAGAAATAAAGAGGCGTAAGAAAATTATCAGAAATTATTGGACTCTGTAAGAAGCTGTTCTTAGTGTAATTTTTTGTAATAATTTTAGATAAAATGTTCTATTAGGAAGTTTTGTTGTATAGGTTGCATTTCAATGGTAACAAACAGTTATGCCTGAAGAGATAAGGCGGACTCGAAACATTAACTCTATTTCTCTTTCTATAGATGCTGCCAGACCTGCCGAGGTTGTCCAGAATTCTGTGTTTGTTTCAGACTTCCAGCATCCACAGTATTTAGCCTTTATTCGAGTATTTCTCCGTTATTCCTTTCCAGGACATGTTTTCATTTTTAAATCAACTGGGCCTGAGGACAGCAAAGACAAAAACAGGGTGGGGAGGACGGCATGTGTTACAGAAACCACAATTTTCCTATCATTAATTTTACTGGAAGGAAATTCATGCAGGTTCTGATACCAGTGTATAATCTTCTCTACTAAATATTTCTAAATAAAATATTTAATGCTAGTAGTAAAGATGAAGAAAGAAATTAATTGCTTATTTCTAGAACCTATTGTTTGTGTGTGGTAGCATCTGCTTTAAAAAGAAAATTTGGTAATGTGTAAGAATTCACTGAAAATGAACTCACTGACTGATCCCCTGTTTCAACTTTGCAATAATGGTACAGCAAAGCTACAACAGTGACTGCACATCAGAACAGTTCATTAGCTCGAAAGCATTTTATGATATACCAAGGCATTACATAAATACAAGTTTTTTTCTTTCCAGGTGTAAAGCAGTAGAGTGGTGGTGATGTCACAAAAAAACCTACAAAACCTTATACTGCTGCAATGATTAGAGATGGCACTGGGTTGAAGCCATGTGCTTTCCACAAGCAGGAAACGGCACAACAATGACACTGTAAAAATAAATTCCCTCAATTCCTTGTATGGAAGCAATCTAGATATGCACACGTGTATTCTGCAAAATGTAAATAGCGCTTTGAGTTCAATAATTAAATAAGTTCAGCTTAGCATTTCTGAGCAATATTCAACCATCTGAACATGGAGGTAATAACTCCATTGACATGTTCAGCGTTGAGAGTGTTGGAAAGTTTTAAAATATAACAGCATTATATTCAGATTGTTGTGAATGAAGTATGAATACTTAAGAGGTCAAATGAAAACCCGTGCGTAAAGCAGACTGAAGGGTTAGACAACACGTCAAACATTAAACACAGGCCTATTTTGTCACCTACACCTCAAAACTGAACTAACTGCTATAAATTCATGTACGTAAAGATTTTAATTATTATTTATATTATATACACATGACAGTGAATTTGCATTTCAATTTTTCCTTACTACTGCAGTCCATTCCCCTGATGTGGAAGCCTTCCAGTATTGGTAGGGCAAAGGCTATTCCCGTTATGAGGTAGGACCTGAAGGTATATTAAGATCATGCAGCATCACCAGGTAGTTATTTTTATCCCATTGGAAAATTCACGATCTGAACAGATATTCACATTTGGCAGTTGTGATTGGAAGGAAAACCTTTCCATTAAAAGGTACAAGAAAACTAACTAACTAATACCACTGCATAAACATCACACTTTCAAATTAGGAACTGAAAAAATGTTTATATGTTGTTAATGGGGAAAGTAGAGTGTGAAATCTCAAATCGGCACTACTACTTTCCCATTTCACTTTGCATGTGCAGAACAGGCTGCTGTTCCTCTCGTTTGTTGGATTTAAATCACTTTGCAAGGATGCATCCTTGCTTTCAACAAATGTACTAGGATTCTACTCCTGTGGTTTTCTTGTGAATCCACTTAACCAGGAAGTAAACACTGCTGTGCTGGCCAAGAACGTTGCACTGGAAATAGAGTTTTCAATGTATTTCAAAATAGAATTTAGTAAAATTAGTGACACTCTACTGTACTTGCTGATTTCTTTGAAGATTGTGTAGATTTGAAGATCTAGATTTTAACAGCTTGCTCCACAGTTCATAAAATTAATAGTTTAATAACCTCTCCCAATCAATAAGTGAGTCAAAGATTAGCCAATTAAAAAGCAGAACATCTATGTCCAAAAATAGCAATGCAACTTAAAAAGGTTAGCATTTATGATTTTTACTATTTCAGTATTTTGAGGTCAACCAAAGTAAAGTAGAAAATTAAAAGGTCAGGTGCAAAATACATTTTTCTTCCACACAGTCTTAGCCATCAGAAATGAGCTTATTATGCCTCTCTCCAGCTCTGCAAAACAGCCAAATGCACATTAGTAGCTTGTGAATATAATTTTGTAAACCAATACTGATGCAAGTATATGCAGTGTTCAATATAAATTAGCAGTTGTAAGTGTAAATTAGGGTTCACTGCAAGAAATTCTGCACCACTAAATGTTAGCATAAAAAGTTTAACTCCTTCTGATCTATCACAAACAAAGTTGAACTCTGGGAAACCTTGATGCACATACCATACTAATTTAACAATGTTAAATTTTCTAAAATACAATTTCTGACATATCCTTGATTGAAACAGATGTAAATGCTCCTGGCGATAATATTATTTCACTAAAAACTCTCATCACTGAACAAAATTAATCCAAGTTGTTAATGAAACTAAAGTACTCAGTATTGATCAAATTGAAGAAACTGAACAGTGGAGTAAATTAAATGTGCCCTTATTTACAATGTCCATTAAATATTAGTAATGGAAATGAACTGCTTCTTCCTCGTTTTACATTTGAAATACTTAGACATTTAATTCAGTTTCTGTTTTTTGTGCTAAGTATTCCAAATGTTAATACCAAAAGGTGTTCACACAAGACAATTCCATTCATATGGGTATTCTGGTAGAGATAGCTCTACAGGTCCTCTTCTTACATTTCACCCCTTTCCCCCAGCTTCACCAAACAAAAACAATAAAACTATCAATGGATAATCTAGTCAAAATGTAGACACATTAGAAAGCACACCAATAACAAAATGTTTTCCTTTAAAAGCCCTCCCTTTCTTGATCTGGTGTAGTCAATTCTCACTGGCTGAAATTTCTAAATCCCCTTTGCTAGATTTGCACCCACTGATTCGATTATAATTTAAAAAAACAAATACATTTCCTGTTTAGACACCTGTATTCATTGACTTGAATATTTCTTGCTGTTGGTATTCATTAATTGGGTTTAAATGCGCTGTGCTTCATCCATCTGTGGGCAAGGCTATAGGATGATGCAGGGTTTCTTTTCCTTGAAAGGATTCTCAGATGTCGGAACTCCAAGAATCAGCGGGTCGCTTCGGGCATGCTGCTCGCAGTAATTCATAAGGTCGACAGCAGCTTTGGATACCTGTTATAAAAAAAATTAAAAATCATTCAAAAATTACTCTGAAGTGATAACTGATTACATATTTCTCTCCCACTTCCAATCTTCTGCCTTTCTTGCCTCTTACTGGGCAACCACTACAATAGAGACCAGTAACACCCCCAGATGCCTTACTCATATGAAGCTGGAAAATTATCAAGCTCTCCTATTCAATGGGCATGCGGTCACTAGTTCTTCATCCAAATAGTTATGCTCAAACAGAAAGAGTGACAAGGTTCTTGGACAGCATCAAGATGCTGATTATTAATAGTCCTGTTGGAAATTAAGAAAGGGAAACTCCAGGCAATTATCCCCTCCTTAACCAGTGGTGCAAGAATAAATATTGTTCCCCCTGTATGCAAGACGGTAGAGATCAACTAGCATTAAGTACTGAGTAGCGTTACTCTTGCTTGCAGACATTAGTTACTTCATTGCTTCAATAAACATGAAAGGACTTGGATTAATTCAAATCATTTAGCACATTGACAATTTACAGACAGCTACAGAAGAAAAGCTGTAAGTGATCAAAATTGTGATAATCCTTTCTTCACACATTTGTATGAGCACAAAGGTCATTACTGTGTTGTGAAAAACTGCAGAAAATATTGTCATCTGTGTACTTGCAGTAGCATATGTGATTTTTCAACATATACACAGCAGGTACTTCACTGTACTGGAACCCTGATAATAATCAACTTTATCATGGCAAAGCTGAGATATAGAAAGTTTACAAAGTGCTCCTCCATAGATTTGTTGGCTCAGCTAATGAATAGCTGAGCGTTTTTTTTTAAAAAAGTGCTCAGTCCCAAGAATGAGCTCATTTTATCTAAATTTAAGTAATAACAGCAATGCTACAATTAATGCCAATGACCCTGACTTGCCTGAAATACCCTAATGGTCAATTGTCTTCTGAAATCTACGGTCAACGATCATTTATCAATAACACTCAACAGTGAGGTGGTGGAGGGTGATTGACACATTAGGGAACCGTAGCCTAAAGCCTAGCTGGAAGTGAACAGCTTCAGGACAGGAAGGAAGAATTTGAGAATAAGATTCAAAAAAGGTACATGGATAACCGTTTTATATTAAAGTATAACCATGAGAATGAATAATGAAAGTAAACTTTTGTAGGAAGCTATAAATACTTGCCAAACATTAGTACAGTTGATTACTGACGAGCTCAGTATGGCTGAGAGTTTAACTGAAAACAAAGCCACAAACGTGCCATACCCTATAGAAATTGCAATCTGGTCAGCCCGAACTGATCGTTTTAACTGAATCCTGGTCCGTCCCCTCAAATGGGCATAGATCCATGTCATCATACACAGCATTCTCCCACACTGTTTTAGTAAAGCTTTATCTTTCAAAAGACATTTTAAAGAAAAAACATTGACGCCTCATCTCATGGCTGTTAGTGCAATCATGTTGTGCATAATTTGGCTGCTACATCTCCTGTGTTATTACAATGATCACATTATATAAATATGCCATTGGCCATGAAATGTGCTTAGAGATGTTCTTGGATTGCAAAAGGCTCTATATATAAATCTATTCTGTAGTTGTAGTTTGCTGGTTTTGCCTTTGTAAGTCTGCAAAATAGAATAGTCTGAGTGTTTTTTGTCATCACAGGTTTGAAAAGTATTTGCAGGCACAAGACAAAACACATCACCACAAGTTGTTTAGAACTGTTCTTCCACCAGACAGAAAAGAATCGTAGCAGTAAACATGTCAGCCAGACTTGAAATTTCTCAGTCTCTGGCATTGATGATTCACTTGTTCATTGAATTTACCGATATGACGGTCCAAGTAATTTTTGCTTGATGTAGGAATTCATGAATGTATGGAATGTACTGGAGTGGGTGATCCCAGTGTCTGCAAATTAAAAGGAAAAATTGATTTGGCTACCAACCAGACTGACTGGTATCCAGTCTGGAAAGCCCCTAAGAATACCATATATTCCTCAAATCCCACATCAGATATCGACGAAGAGCAGTGTTAGTTTCATATAGCAGTTCTTTGTGGGAAATCATTTCTGATATCCAACAGCCTTAGCTCAGAATTAACACTATGCGGTTACATTTGAAACAATGAATGATGACAGGGAAACTACATTAATTAACGCAATCCTCTCATTGTTCGGATATTGAAATAGCACTATAGTCACAGAATCCACCTCAATTTTAATTTGCTAAATTCAGCTTTTGTTTCAGTACTCAGATGCCCATGATTTTGTTGGCCTGTAGAAAGACTGACCTGCACTTACGTAGCATCTTAGATGACGTTGGGATACTCCAAAATGCTCTAAATACTTTGCAAGTACAGTCACTGCTTTAACATAGGAAATGCAGCATCTCATTTTGTATACAGCAAGCTCCCATAAACAGTAACGTAATGATGACCAGGTTTTGTTTTAAGTGATACTGATTGCATACTAATATAGCCTAGGCCACTGAGGAAAAAAACCCTGTTCCTTTACAAAATAGTGCCATGTGATTTTTAATGGACACCCAAGGAGCAGGTATTTTCACATGCATTGACAATAGGAGAGAATGGGACCTACGTCTAACGTAGAATTATTTCCAATTATTAAATTTAATTTTTTAATTCAATTGTGGATATTGAAGTGCCAGTCTAGCTTAAATGCATTCCTTTGGCTTAATCTCAAATGCTGTTTTCAAGCAATGATTCACTAATGTGCTTTAGGGAAGGAAAGCTGCCATCCTTACCTGGTCTAGATTACATGTGACGCCAGATCCACAACAATGTGATCAATTCTTAACTGCCCGCTGGGCAAGTAAGGTTCAAAAATAAGTGCTGGACTAGCCAGTAACACCCACATCCCATGAACAAATAAAATAATTATTGCAATATTTTCAGATAGTCATACAGCGTGGAAACAGACCCTGAGATCCAACTCGTCTGCGCCAACCAGACATCCCAGTCAGACCTAGTCCCATTTGTCAGCATTTGGCCCATATCGCTCTAAACCCTTCCTATACATTTACCCATCCAGATGCCTTTTAAATGCTGTAATTGTACCAGCCTCCACGAGCACAATAGGAAATCAGAATTGAGAAAGAAACAGCAAAATAATTGAAGACTTGGAGGGGAAGGTATCAGCTGGAATTTTCATATTATTCCAGATAGCGAACAAGTACCTTCTGCTAGAAATGTCACTATTGAGAGTTTAGGTTTGGGGCTCAAGTTGGATGGGCCCAAAATTGAACAGTAAATTGATACAACCTGACCAGTTTAATAATTAGTTAAATGACCAGATAGCCATCACTAAACATGGAAACAAACTTCAGCACTATTTCCTGTATTCAGGAGAGAAGGAAAAGTGATAAAACTAGAGAATGTGAGAGAGGTTTCAGTAATCGAACTCTGAAAGAAGAAAGTTAATGTTCTATTGGGTCTTGAAATGGCACTCCATGATTCTTTAGTTGAAAAGTCTGCTTCCCACCACTTTACTTGGATTTGAACTACAATCACTGCTATTAACTTTGTCTTGTTTCTGATCAATACGATTCCAGTCAAGATTACTAGCTCACAGTTTCCAAAATGGACGATGCAACCTCTAAAATGCCTGTCAATATTCTAGAATTTCATGATTATTAAACCAGTACTTGTAATTCTAAATAAACATAAATGAAAAGATAGAAATTTGATTTGTTAGTAAAAACAGGCTGTAGTCTTCATGCAATAATTTTATCTTTTACATATGCTCATATGAGGAATACAGTTAAGCAAGTAGACTTCTTAAAAAGTTTGATCTGAAATTTTTACTTGTTTCTCCCCATTGCCAAATTTTCACTGGTTTTGAAAGTTCCAAACCATTCCTGAAAAACTTGTTCAGAAATAAAAACAAACATGGAAGCAAGACTGGATTCAGTGCATAACAGGAAAAAGTATAATGACCCAAACAAGGTCAGCTGTTTATTGCCAATTATAACTGCACCTGCTAGTGCACCCATTCAAGTCCGCTGGCCCACTTAAAACAAGCTTTCATAAGAAATCAATAACATCCTGTATGTGCCAGTAATGTTTTGTGCTGGTGATATTTCCATTCCTCTAAATCATATTTAACATTGTCTAAAGGGAAAATATTAGTTCACTGTAACCTCTACTGGAGGAGAGCCAGTTCACAATCAGCACAACATGGAACTCTCTCCCACATGCCAAGCTCACACAAGTGAAAACAGTTATCAAAATTACTTACATTGATGTTGTAGTATCAAGAAAGTGACATTAAATGATCTGAACTCAAATGACACTCAAACATCAAGCTTCACATTTTATTATAGCAATATTTTGGTGATCCAGTTGCCAACCCAAGTGTATTAGTTGCATACTTGCCATCACCTCCAATAGATAGCCTTTTAAAAATCAGACTGTATAGGTGCACACAGTTTGTTTCTTATTGCTTATGCAGGGGCAATGTCTTTTTATTTTTGTGATTTTAAAAACTGCAGACTGAAATGAAAAGTAACAATTTTAAGAACAAGTATTTGAAAGAGTGGTTGCAGTTTGAAAGAAAGTAAACCGATACTCATGGCAGGCACTGCAAACAATGTTTGAACAAGCAGCAACCGAAGTTCAGATTGCAGACCATCTGGAGCCAAGAGTGTATACTGATGCAGCTTTTATTGGCAATATGAAGTTGATTGGTCTGTGGACTAGTGACAGTTATCAATGAGAGACCTTTTGCTTGCCAATAATTGGGTATTTGAATCTCGGATGGCTGGAAACAAGTTATGGGGGTGGGGTGGGGGAGGGCAGGGCTAAAAGCTGCCTGTTCTGTAATCAAAAGTTCAGTTTAAACCTGAAGAATTCTGTTACCTTATTAAAGAGGTCAACCTCCAGTATGTGAGCTGAGACATCTGGATGAATGTAGTTGGCTTTTGAGTATATGGATCATGCATGCTTCATGTAAGGAACATTAGATAAGAGAAATAACTTCATTGGGCATTCCCAGCAGCACTGCATACAATTATACCATTCCTATTGCTTCCCTAGTTGAGATCAACTAACAGCAGAGAGCAATGAGCAAACTTGGTTTACACTGCCCAGGTATTTGAAAAACAAATGTCTGTTCATAATAAAAACCAAAAGAACTGCGGATGCTGTAAATCAGGAACAAAAACAAAGTTGCTGGAAAAGCTCAGCAGGTCTGGCAACATCTGTGGAGGAGAAAACAGAGTTAACGTTTCGGGTCCAGTGACCCTTCCTCAGAACGGAGGTTCTGAGGAAGGGTCACCGGGCCCAAAACGTTAACTTTGTTTTCTCCTTCACAGATGCTGCCAGACCT